CAATATAGATCAACTGCTTATCATCCTGAGTCCCAGGGAGCGCTAGAACGTTTTCATCAAACCCTAAAAACAATGCTGAAGACCTATTGTTACCAGTATGAAAAAGACTGGGATGAAGGGGTTCATCTTGTACTATTTGCTGCACGAGAGGCAGTCCAGGAGTCTCTTGGGTTTAGTCCTTTTGAATTGGTGTTCGGACATACAGTTAGAGGTCCTTTGAAATTGTTGAAGGAAAAGTGGCTGACTGAGACTAGTGATCTTAATCTTTTAGATTATGTGTCTGATTTCAAAGAAAAACTTTACAATGCTTGTAAATTAGCACAAGAAAATTTGAAGAGTTCTCAGTTGAAAATGAAAATGTGGTATGACAAAGATGCCAGAAATAGGGTGTTTAAGCCAGGTTATAAGGTTCTTGTATTTTTACCTATTCCTGGTCATCCTTTACAGGCCAAATTTTATGGCCCTTATGAAATTGAAAGCAAGATCAGTGATGTAAACTATGTAGTTAAGACACCAGGTCGACGTAAAGAGAAACGGGTTTGTCACATTAACATGTTAAAAGAGTATTTTGAAAGGTGTGACCGAAATTCTGTAAAACCAGTTTCCACTTTAGCCAATGCTAAGACTGTTCAAAATTGTATTGAAAGTGATACGAGTGTAGAAATGAATGAGAAAGATTGTAATCAGAGTGTCCGCTTGAAAAACTCAGAAATTTTGGCTGATTTTGATGCCAAACTTGGACATTTGAACATTCATCAAAAAGAACAAGTTAAAAACTTGATGAATGAGTATCATCAAATCTTTTCGGATGTTCCAAAGAAAACTAATGCAGCTTGTCATGATGTCATAGTGAGTGACGTTCTGCCTATCAAACAACATCCGTACCGTATGAATCCAATAAAATTGCAGTACCTAAGAAGGGAAGTGCAGTACATGTTGGACAATGACATTGTTGAACCTAGTAAAAGTGATTGGAGCTCACCATGTATTCTTGTACCAAAACAGGACGGTTCGTACCGATTATGTACAGACTTTAGAAAGGTGAATTCTGTTACCAAAACTGATTCATACCCAATACCTAGAATCGATGACTGTATTGACAACATTGGAAACGCAAAATTTGTCAGTAAATTTGACCTGTTGAAAGGCTACTGGCAAGTACCGTTAACAGAAAGAGCAAAAGAAATATCTGCTTTTGCTACACCAGATGGACTTTACCAGTATAAAGTAATGCCTTTTGGCATGAAAAACGCACCGGCTACATTCCAAAGGATGATTCACTCCCTTCTTCAAGACCTTGAAGGATGCGAGGCCTACATTGATGATGTCATCATATACAGTGACACATGGGACGAACATCTTCGAATCATGCGTGCTTTATTTGACATTTTAGCTAAAGCAAACTTAACTGTGAACCTTGAGAAGAGCGAATTTTGTCATGCTTATGTAGAGTATTTAGGTCATAAAGTAGGTCAAGGTTATGTTACACCCATTATGGCTAAAGTGGAAGCTATTGCAAAGTTCCCGATTCCTACAAACAAGAAAGAATTAATGAGGTTTTTGGGCATGGCTGGGTTTTACAGAAAATTTTGTCCAAATTTTTCCTCAGTTGTTAGTCCACTTACAAATCTTTTACAAAAGAGGGTTAAATTTGAATGGACAAAGGACTGTGAAAAATCCTTCCATAAAATCAAATCTGTCCTTATGAGCAACCCAGTTCTGTCAACTCCAGATTTTTCTAAGCAATTTAAGCTTACTGTTGATGCTAGTGATGTTGGAATCGGGGCAGCTTTGTTTCAAGAACATAGTGATAATGTAGATAGAGTTGTTTCTTATTTTTCAAAGAAACTTACAAAATGTCAACAAAACTATTCCACCATTGAAAAGGAATGCCTTGCTTTGTTGTTAGCTTTACAGCATTTTGATGTTTATTTGAATGTTACTTTGCATCCAATTCTTGTATATACGGATCACAACCCCCTGACATTTTTGCATAAATTGTCAAACAAGAATCAAAGACTGACTAGATGGAGTTTGTTGTTACAAGAATACAACATAACAATTAAGCATATCAAAGGCAAAGACAATATTATTGCAGACGCTTTGTCAAGAGTATCGTAAACATACTAGATTTTGTATTAATGTACAAAACTTTTATTTTAATAATATAAGTTTTCATTGACATTCAAATTTTTTAAGGGGGGAGGTGTTGTGAGATGTGTATTGTTTTATTATGTATATAATTAGTAACATTAAGTTTCTTGAACCTTCCAGAGTGGTCAACATGTTTGGTCATTTTATCTAGAACATTCTTAAATTTTGTGTATGTCCAGATTGTTCCAGTAATATCATGTTTTAACAATTTCTAGAATATTCTAGATTTATGATACTGTATAAATACCCTGTCAATTCGATGCATATACAATAATTGTGAATACTTTGTCGTATAAGCACTATTGAGATATAACTGGGATATATTTTCATTGGGACATTGTGTGCAGCAACGGACACTCTGATGTATGTATTCTTAGATTCTTGCTAAGTTTGTACTTTATGTTTCATATACTTATTATATATTACTGTAAATAAATTATTGTTAAGTTTAAATTGTGTTATTGATCTTTGCTGGCATTTCGGGTAATTCTGACCCATAACAATAAGTTTTTCTTTATTTCAATAAATAAATAAGTGTGTAAATACATGTACAATGTTGTGAATGAGAGAGAGAGAGAGAGAGAGAGATGCAACCCTTTGTTTCTTAATCTGTATAAAAAATGTATTTATTCTCATTCTCCGTTTTATTTACATCGCCAAAGTCACATTTAATCAGTCTATCATGCTATTTAATTTCCACAAATTTCGTTCAAACTCAACCTATTTACAACTATTGCGCAATGCATTCGTTCTCGGCACATGCACGAAATCCTTGTGCATCACTTGTCAGTCAAAATCGCAATACGCTAGGTGACCCTGAGAGTCTGTTTACGCGGAAAGAATTTCTCTTGTGATTTGAAACATTCTTGTGGTCAGTTCACACCTGTTTAAAAAATATTGGGTCACAGCCAGAGGGCCGGGGTGCCGTGTGTTTAACACACCTTTCAAATTATTTAGCTCTGACCACATCAAGTGTACATGCATGTTTAAAACTCACTCAACTGACATCCAGCGAAACTCATCTTCCAGGTTTCACCACAACACTGATTAGAAATTTTCTTCCTAAAATATCCATTTCAGACGCAATTAGATAAGCAGGAATCCCTTAAATATCATTTTACTTTAAAAAAAAAAATGTACAATAGCGTCACATAAATTCGCAGACTTTTGATGAGTTTTTAGTAGCTAATTAGTATCGCCTTCTAGAAAGGGGGGGGGGTATCAAAACATAATGTGGCTTGAAACATGTGAAAGAGGATTGAGAAAAATCATTGTCCTTTTTTTTCATTTTATTTTTGTAAATTATTCTTTTCCAGACACAAATAAGCAGGTGTCCTGTAGATTATGATTTTTTTTTGAAATTTTACAGCAACGTAACATTTTGCACACTTCTAAAGAACTTACATGTATAACCTGCTAATTCGTATCGTTTTCATGAAAGGGGATGGGGGTACAGTGTAACAAACCTTATAATATCTATAATTTTTCGCAAATTGTTTTTTTTTTGTATGCAGCTTGTAAGTTGATCACAATTTTATTAGTCAGATTACCATCTCTATCCGTTCAGTAGAAATCTTCCTGTTTACTGCATGTTATATTTTAATCCATATTTGACATAATTACCGATTTTCAGTGTAAGTCTAACTGCATCAATGATTCGCCGAGTAATTATCTGAGCAGAATTAATGTGCGAGTCTAATACGGTTTTTTCTATAACTCTAGACAGTTCATATAATTATGTTTTAAAATTCTTACAAAATTAATGATTAATTAGTAAAATCACGCATCTGATATGAACTAGATATGAATGCACACTTACGGCAAAAAGGATCACGTATCTGATTCAATAATTTAAATGGGCAAAATTAAAATCTTAAGTCAAGAAAACCAGGAAATTAGTTTAAACATCTGTATAGTTTAATTACGAATATTTAAGTACAACAAATATTTCAAAAAGAAGTTGATTTAATTTGCCCAAATAAAGAAAATGAAAATATTTATTATCAGATCCGTAAAGGGGAACTGTGATACACCTTGTTACATGGTGTCCACGATCGCTGACATCCAGGATGCCGACATCGAGTTCGAGGTTCACGGTGCCACGTGTTTTTCGGGAAAAACCCATGGTCTGTACTGTACCTTTGATCACAAACACAACGAGTTGATCTAATTTATAGCATATAAGGAATCGTCGCAAACTCTGTCTAGTTGTTTTGAAGTTGTTTATTTCGAGTAGTTTCCTTTATTTTCACAGTTGAAAGCCCAGATGCATGATACTTGATAAAGATGTTTCGAACAGCCAGACATAAACTCCCTCCTCCTTTCACGGGCGCTATTGCAAAAAATAAACCAAAATGACTTATTTGGTCATTGTCCAGTTCAAAAATCATTGGGGGCGTGGCTTGCATAATTAACCAAAGAACGGTACGGTTCGTTTCTTGCACGGAACGGTACGCTTTGTGCACGGAACGGTTCGCTTTGTGGACGGAACGGTACGCTTTGAGCACGGAACGGTTCGCTTTGTGGACGGTACGGTACGCTTTGTGAACGGAACGGTTCGCTTTGTGCACGGAACGGTTCGCTTTGTTCACGGTACGGTACGCTTTGTGCACGGAACGGTACGGTTCGTTTCTGAGGTGCAGTAGCACGGTTTAGGGTCTGTATATTCGTTTTCAATGGTGAGAACAGCAATAATTATTGAAATTGGTTATTACAAGTATTATCAAATATTTCAAATAGATATGAAATATGTAAGGTACATGTAATCAATGCTATTTTTCTGTTTTCACATGTTTCATGTTTTATCCGATAAAGCACATATTTTTTATACAAATGTCTTTTTGAAGTGGACTTATCTACAAATAAACAAACAAACCAGTCCTTAACAAGACCATGCCATGTTCCTGCATGTAAAAACTATTACATCTCAAGTAATGCAGTAGATAGAAACGAAAGTACGTGTACTAGAAGCAAAGTGATTGGTGGAGACGGCACAATTGATTCGACAGTGTGGTGGAGAGTAGATTTGGGCGATATTTACAGTGTTTACAGCATCAGCATTATGTTTAAAAACTACGCTGGCTTCGGTGAGATATGATTTAGATTACACTGTAAAAATTGTGTTTAGATGAAAGACACTTTGCTAAGCAGATTTTTGTCATACTTTTTTTATGCATTGAAATTCTAAACATATTGAATTTCATAACGTTTAACGAAAAGTGTTCAGAGCCTGAACACGTACATGTTTAGACTTTAAACTCTTTACAAAACATGTTTTGTAACATGTTTACAAATTAAACATTTGGATGTTTTCATTGTTTTCCTGCAAGAAAACTGAAAATAATATGTTTTACGGTGTGACCGTTGAAGCGAGCGCAGTTGTACCATCAAAAACACTTGAGATCAGCCACTTCGAACGTCAAGCCGCACGAGATATCTCGACTACAGTGGCTGTGACGTCATACGACGTCACAAAGCTCGTCGGAGCTTACGGAGACAGCCGAGCGTCTGTTTGAAACTATAGAACTAGTGCAATTTTTGTCGAAAAACATTGCAGAGTTATTTCTTGTTTCTTTGAAAGATTTCTACAAACTGAAAGTCTGATATATGCTTTACGTTATTATTTATTTATTTATTCGGCAATATTCGCGCAAAGGACATTGGGTAGTGCAGGAATTCTGGGAATGTTGCACAGAGAAATTTGGCTGACGTATGTACAGATTTCAATCCGAATTTCCTCTGTTCTTACACGTTAGTCTATTGAGCTCGCTTCGCGACGCTCGCTGCGCTCGCTATAACAATTGTTTACATTTTATATTCTATTCAATGAACATTTAAACATGGATTTATTATAAAGAATTTTAAATTAGATATACATATATGTTTAAATATATATTTTTACACGCTGATCTTCATTTTAAAAAGCTAAGTAAGCAGTTACTCCTCATGTCTGCATCAAATTTAACTTCCATGCAGCAATTCTTTCACTGAGACACACACGAATAATTTGTTTTCATACGTGACCGTCAGTTGCAGTAATCTACTTCCATATTTTAAGAATGTTTTTGGGTAGTTCAAAACTATAACGAACAACAGACTTCACAAAATTCAGTTTCCTCTAGAAAGTAAGAAGTGCTGAAAAATGGAAGAACGATGACATATCATTGTGGACTTATAGATGGCAGCAGTTCTTCTGATACGTGTAGTTTTCCTTTTAAGTTGGATTTGGACCATATCATGTAGGAAAGAAATTCAAATTTTATTACAAGAGGCCCACGGGCCTTATAGGTCACCTAAGGATCATGTTACAACTTTTGACAATTGAATTTATTTCGTGTTTTAAACCACAGGCCATGAAATTCATAATTTTGAAAGAGGCAGTATTGCTAATCATAATTATTAAACACTTAGCATGCTTACTCTAGTTACTTAATACCCAGAAGTAGATCAGAGTAACAAAGAGAAAATGCACTTCCACTTTATAACCAGTTATGCACCTCACCCCAAAGGAACCACTAACCCTGGAGCCATTTATTTCTAAATTTTGGAAATTTTATCATAAATTTTATTTCATCATAAATGGTTGATTAATACCAAAAAGAAGATTTCAAAGCATTAATTTATTTTTCAGACTAAGTAACCCCACCCTCACCCCCCCCCCTCCTTACTCCTGACCCAAGGGGCATAAAATTCACCGTATTGCTAGATGCACCTTTTTTCATCATAAATATATATAAACTTAGATAATTGGCATAATTTAATACCCTAGAGCAAACAAAAAGATTTTCAAAGAATGAAAACAAATTCACTATATAATCAACAGAGCTCCCCTCCCCCTAAAGCAAATGGCAGAACCCCTGATACAGGGGACATAAAAGAAACACAAGTTTGGTTGAGGTGTATTTCTTGCTCATCATAACTATGTACTTTGTTTATTTAATACCCAGAAGCAGAGAGGAAGATTTTTAAATAATAAATGCATTTTCACATATAGTCAATAGAGCCCAGCCTTAACACCAGAACCCCTGACGTACCCTGGGGCCATAAAATTCAAATTTTTGGAGGAGGCATTCTTGGTCACCATAACAATGTACTTAGTTAGTTTATTTGATACCCAGAAGCAGAGAAGAAGATTTTCAAAGAATTAATGCATTTTCACTATATAATCAATAGAGCCCTGCCCTAACACCAGAACCCCTGACCCTGGGGCCATAACATTCAAAATTTTGAAAGAGGCACTCTTGTTCATCTTACCAATGTATTTAGTTATTTTTTTTTAAATACCTAGGGACAGAGAAGAAAATTTTCAAAGAATTAATGCATTTTCACTATGTAATCAATAGAGCCCCCCCCCCCCCCAACACCAGAACTGAACCCCTGACCCTGGGGCCTTAAAATTATCAATTTTGAAAGAGGCACTCTTGCTCATCATAACAATGTACATTGTACTTAGTTAGTTTATTTAATACACAGGAACAGAGAAGAAGATTTTCAAAGAATTAATGCATTTTTACTATATAATCAATAGAGCCCAAATCTAACACCAGACCCCCTGCCCCTGGGGTCTGGAAATTCACAAGGTTGGAAGAGAGACTCTCTCTCATCATAACAATGTACATTGTTAGTTTATTCAATACCCAGGAGCAGAAAAGAAAATTTTCAAAGAATCAATGCATTTTCACTACACAGTCAAACTTGTCTTAGCGGCCACCCGAAATCAACGGCCACTTGCGGTCACCGGCCACTTTCAGTTCCCCCCAACGATTTTTCCTATATATTTTAACTGGAATAAACGGCCACCTGTTTAACGCGGCCAGCGGCCACTCAAATCCTCCCCCAAAAGTCTTATTGACACTGTAATAGGCGGCTATTTCGTCACTTGCTGCGATTCTATTATGTCTTTTAAACTCATTCGTTTGGGTAATTATATCCCTATAGCCAATTTAACCCAGCTATTAATTCAATTAAACAAATTACTATTGGATACACTGAACTCAGTTTGTGTTTATGAAAAAAAATGTTAGATGAATTTGTAATTATTTTTCAAGATCGCCGATTGAAAAATAAAAGAATTTAAATACAATTGATACTTTCCTCTACCTCAAGAAATTCACACCTTTTAGATTTTGATTCCATGTAGAAACCCTAATTGCTACTCTTGTAAAACAAAGTGCTTCCTTTGGCATGATTATCTCGTGAATTTTACTATTAAGAGACGATCGATAGGGATTAGTCACGCTCCACTGCATATGACACCTGTTTTATGAAATGATTTTCAACTGCGTCAATACATCTCTCTGGTCAAGTGGTTAATTTTATTTGTGTGTTTGTGTATGTTACATAGGAATTCTGACAGCTTTATAAACAATGAAATTTACCAGACTTTAAAAACTTCAGCTAGAAAATTAATTGCCGATGAATTAATTTGCGGGAAGGGGGGGGGGGTACACTGCTGACCATTTTTGAACATATGCAAGTGGAATTTTTATTGACATATTCTTACTTAAATTTCTATGCTTTATTTTATTTACCACTAAAATGTATTTTTGTGTAATTTGTTTTCTTTATAAAAAAAGGATAATAACCAGGCACTGTATGTATGTCTTATTCAACTATTATGTAGGAACAGAAACATGCACATAAACTTTAAAAAAAAAATAAATTGTTAATATTTTTTAATGAGCTTGAATTTTTAAATATATATATACAAAAGAGCCTTTGTAAAATTGACCTGTTTATTATTTTATTAATTTAACTGTAGTACTTTATGTTGTTTATTCATTGCAAGAATTTTTTTTTTCGAGGGCAAACTGGAATAAGAGGCCACCTGTCTTAAGTGGCCAGTTTCCAGACTTCCAAAAGGTGGCCTCTTAAAACAAGTTTAACTGTATAATCAATAGAGCCCAGCCTTAACACGAGAAACCCTGCCCCTGGGGCCATAAAATTCACGAATCTAAAAGAGGCACTCTTGCTCATCATCACTATGTACTTAGTTTGTTTGTTTGATACCCAGAAGCAGAAAAGATGATTTTCAAAGATTTATGCATTTTCACTATATAATCAATAGATCCCTACCATTACACAAGAACCCCTGACCCTGGGGCCATGAATTTCACAATTTTGGTAGAGGACTCAATGCTGATTACAATCATACCAACAGTTTGACTGCTTGATGTTCAGGAGTAAAGAAGAAGGTTTTTAAAGATTGTACTAAATTTAGTGGTTTTGGACCCATCCCCAAGGCCCCAGGGGGGCAGGGACCATGGACCAAAACGGATATCAATAGGTCACCTGTTTTTACTCAGGTGACCTTAAAATATGCTCCTTACTGGCTGGAGTTGTATGAAAATTTTCACATGTTTGATAGCCATTATTGTCCTACCTTTATTGAACCTCATTTAACCACTGTATAGTACTGATACTGATATAGATATTATTAATGACATTCTGCATAATTTACTCCTTTCTAGTTTTCCAGGATGCAAAATATAATCGAAGGGAATCTTGATCTAAACAACATGTGTAACCGCATGTCTATTTACGTAGCCCATCATGGTCAATTTATGAAAAATAAAAGTAAACATACCTTTTATCCTAGTAATGTTGCAATTTAAATGCATTCCACAATCTCTTCATCATTATCACTTTGATAACTATTCACTTTCTTTAATCCATCTTCTTTAAGCTTACATTTGGATTTTCTTTGTTTCGATAACCGCTCTATTTATCATTCGAATTTATATGCGTCATTTCCGGGAAGATAACTCTGCACTTTACAGAAATGTGTTCAATTTCTAAACACTTATATCTAAACATATGTTAAATCTAACACCATTTAGATATAACACACGTTAAGACCTACGTGTTTAGCCGTTTAAAACAATCTTATACATGTTTAGGTCAAAACACGTAATGGAAGTGTTTATATTCTAAGCACATTTTTATAGTGTATTACATATATGTCATCATTTAAGATATGTATAAATCTAAGTGATATAAGTAATTTACTTATTTTCTAGTATAATAGCTCTTAAATGCCTGCAAAATATTCATTGTCTGGTTTTAGTTTTTTAAATGAAATATTCAAAGTATGTTTGCTTACATGTACAGCTGTATATATCTTACTTGTATTTGCAAAGATGTAATTGATAAAAAGATCATAATTGCAAAAATTTCCATAGAAATCCTCAAATGAGTTTTCAATTTGACAGCAACTACACTTTTGTTTGAGCTGCAGCGTACATATACGAACATATCTTGTTTTCCGCCCCTGTAAATGACTACAAAACAAATAAATATAAAAAATTTAAACAATCATATATTTAAAGAAATTTGCTGAACTGACTAAAATTACAAAGGCTATTCTACTGCAATTTTCTGTATAAATCTGTATTTGAACAGCATCTTTTTCGCTTCACATCGTTTGCGTAACGCAGAAATTTTGCTCTAGAGTCGCGGATTAAGTCCTTGTGGGACGGTGGGCGGGGGGGGGGGGGTTGTATATTTGCTACTATAATTTGTTACATGTGTTATATTAACGTTCCTTTCGAGAATTTTAAACGTATATGGAGTCGCCACCAATAGCCAGTAAAAGACTGCTTTATACATTTCTTTGGCATTCAAGGTACTTAAGCAGTGATGAATGTTTTTCGTGTCAACCAACTGTGACAACGGGGCTCGGTTAAGATTTACGTTGGGCTGGTATCCTTGTCCAGCAGTGGTTTCGAACGTGCAATGGTGAAACAAATCCTTATTCAACGACTGTAGAACAGACGCTCTAACTATCGCGCGAGCACTAATGAGACTTTTTAAATCTACCATGTAAGTCTCGTGTCGCTGTAGATGCTTGCACGATAAAGATCCGTCACTGCTCAACCGAGAATGGAACTAAATTTGAAGTCCACTACCGGTTGATGGTGTCTCGATATGAGAGTAAAAAAAATTTTGAAACGGACATTTAACAAACTAAACATAAAGTATTTAATGCATCGATTTTAATGTCACTTCAGTTAAAACCAGACATTTCCTTCCTCCAAAGTCATCTACATTTTTGTGACACCCTCTCACTGAAAAGATGCTACCTGTTCAGTTAAACAACTATATATTTGTCTAAAATACAAAATTTTATCATACTAGTATATAATGTTATAGCAAGAAGGTTTCTTGATACACGAAAGCTAAATTTGATGTCCATAATGTAAGAGAAATTTTTAAAATTATTTTTTAATATACAACATTCCTTGTCTTTAAATTTGGGAAATTGAAATCCCTTGGTACATGTAAAGACTAATGAATAGTAGAATAAATCTTTTCATGTCCGTTTATGAGTAGGTTTTGTGTAAAAAAAAAAAAATATGATAAGGCCATTTAAAAAAAAAAAGTTTCTTTGCCTTAATGTCTAAAACTTCCTCAACTCAAAACTTTTTCAACCTCTAGGAAATGATATTTTACCCTTATATTCCTTGATTTCCTGCTCCCTTCAAAATGTATTTTGACATTGTCAAAGAAAAAAAAAATAACCACCGTCGGACCATTTTTAAAAAAAAAAATTTTGGCCTAAGTGTGGAGAAAATAGACAATTAGTATATGTACTTTTAAGATGGCTTAATGTATCTGTTTTTTTTTCTTTATCAGAAGCTCGACAAAGAGGCCGCTTGGCAGGGTTTTCCCTCTATTTATCAGCGTCTACAGATAGAACCAATGATTCCCTTTGTTACAGAGACGGACCAGATTTACCTCCGTTGAATTTCACGACAACTTGTACTGGATACGGACGTTATGCCATATTCTACAATGAACGATTGGATGGAATTGATTATCCGGAAGGATACGAAAGGCGGTCATATACTGAATTGTGCGAAGTGATAGTGAAAGGTTCTGTAAAAGCATTTTATTGCCTTCATCCTTTTATTTATAATTTTATTAAATTTTGCTGTACTTTAAAGATGAAGTCTTTTACTGAAGTCTTTTAAATCCTAAATTGCAGTCGGCCATATTAGTTTTCGATGACCCTTCTATCAGGTACTACCCAATTGTGTGGTCATGCACGACTGATTTTGTTCGTCCGTTCCAATCGCATCAGATATTACCCAAGGCCTATTTGTAAAACACCTAAGATTTTTTTTTTCAATAAAATAAAAAGGTTCCGGTGTATCTCAATTTCCGAGATAAGACAAATGTTTTGAAAGCATTCTTGGTGTTGATGAGCAACTCTGACAATACGCAGGTACACAGTCACAGAAGTTGGTACTTATGCAGCTGCATTCCACGTGCATGCACTGATAAACTAAAGTTCCCAGTTGTAAATTTCCAAAACGACGGTTAGATTAACATGTACATGCGAAAGCATCTCAAAAAATCAATTACGAATAAAAACAATAATGTTTACTATGTAAAAATTTTGCGACGAGGACCTCACATCGAAACACGTCCACACTCAGCACGGTTTTACCGTGTAATGTTTTGTCCATGCCTGAAAACAAACGTTTCACTGACCTTGAGTTTGCATGGGAGACCATGCGGTGTCGGTCATGTTCGGAAGTGAGTACTCTTATCTATTGTGCTTGCGTGTTGTGTACATTTATTTACTCTAATTTTCTTATATTGGATGCCCTAACGAAGTGTTCTGGTGTCTTGTTGCAACTTTATCTATTGCAAAATTAGCGATAGGTCTGAAACCGCTACCTGCAGTCACCGGCACTTCGAGGTACACACTGTACTTGGTCACTGGACAAATGCATTGACGCGTTACGAAGAATTGGGTGTATACATACTTAGTAAGTAACAATAGAACACGAACTAATATGGCGTCTTCGATGAAATATGGCGGCTACATGTATTTGTTTACATTTGCGGCTCTTTTATGATGTCAGTAGAGCTTTAAGATAATATTCAAGCTCACTGCACTACATGGGCAGGAACAATCTAATACTTGTATTTGGAAATATTGACACATGTGTTGTACGAACTACATGCACATACACTGTATCATGCACAAAATAAACACACGTTCACGTATTACATGGATTCGAGGAACTGTCCTTAGGACATAGATACATGTAGCATTTTGCTTTTTTAGGTATTCCATTTTCATCTAATAAAAATATAGTTAGTTCCAAGCAATCTATAACATATAATTTACAATTTTACTTTAAACTGTATACTGTTAATAAGTATTAAAAATCAGTCCCGTTAATTAATTGATTCGTTTAATAATTTTTGTACATTTTCTTTATTATTCGGTTTACTCGCACTGATTGAAGTTTTCTACTTTTTTTGTTTAATTTTCTCTTTCTTCACATACATGTACATGTATAAACAAGATTCTGTATTTTTTCAATTTTTGTTTATTTTATAATATAATCTCAAAAGATTTTTTTCAACTTTTTTTAATAACCTTTCATTTAAATGTAAACTGTAGAATAATAGCCTCACGCGTAAAATATGGAAAAAATCCATTTTCAATCTATGTATTAACATTGAATTTATTTTTTTAACTAGGTTGTAATAAAACCTATTATGGAAGAACTTGTGATAAGAAATGTCCAGGGAATTGTGAGAATAAAGTTTGTAACATTATAAATGGAACATGCCCGAGATGTACGCCAGGATGGACAGGACCATTTTGCAGAAATAGTATCAAATTATATCATAAAATAAAGTTTATAAAGAGAATAAGTATTAACAGTTTCTCGATTTGATGTTCTGGAAATTATGTTTTCCACAAAACAAAAATATATTCTTCAACATCGAATTTCTAAAATAGATATTTTTATAGAGTGTTGGGGAGGATGGCATGGACTTGGTTGTAAACAAAGATGTTCCGGGCATTGTAAAAACAAGGAGACATGTAATCATGTGACTGGCCGTTGTGATGATGGATGTGCTGATGGATGGATGGGAATTCAATGTGAAAAACGTAAATATAATTTATAGAACTATTAATATTTTATTCTTTCTCAAAATTTAAACAAGTGACGACTCATTACAGATCTTTTGGTGTTTTCCTCAAAAACAGAACTTCAAGTTAATTTTCCATGTCTATTACCGAGAAACATAGCTGCCCAGTTTAAGAGGAAAAAAAAAGCAAATTATTTACATGAATGGATTCATAACAAGCAGAATTCAGGATCAAACGTCCATTAAACAATACAAAATAAGAGCAAAACAAACACGGACCTCCAAAACAAAAGAAGTTGGTCCAGGTGCCATGGGGAAGAGAGCATACCATATCGACGGTGTACTCATTGTCATGATTGGGAAATAACAAAAACATCCATCGTCAATTCAGTGTATAATTAATGGAATAACAATTAATATGAAAAACGTCACATAACAATTGATTCAATGATAAGTTGGATTTGCTGCCAAGGTCATTGAATCGACCATACAACTTACGAAATAATGTCTTTAAACGATATTGATATTCTTCTCTCATCAACTTGATTGCCAATAATCTAACACGTTTCAGAAATTGCACATACGTAGATGATGCTCTTCCGTATCGAATCAGCTGAAATATATAAACTCCGTATGCAGCTGAAGGAGAGTTCACGATTGAAAAGTTATAGTCATCACTTTTATTTGCTTTTTTTCTAGTTGTTAAATTACCAAAAAATTTAAATTTAAATTTGAATTAAGTTAAATTTTTCAAGAAAGATATTCAAATATGAAACAACATAAAAATTCTTATTTTTCATTGATAAAACAAAGTTTGATAAAATTTATTGTGCAATTTATTATCCACAGCATGTAAAGATGGAAACTACGGTCCAGGCTGTATTTATAACTGCAGTGGTCACTGTCTGAATGATGTACACTGTAACAAACAAAATGGACACTGTGACACAGGGTGTAAACCGGGATATTCAGGGAATTTATGTAACGCAGGTACATATATAACTAATTGATGGAAATATTTAAGGTAAGGTGTAAAAAAGGTAATTATACATGTATCATAAGAAATGAAAATTAAAAAAAAAATGAATATATCTTCCGAAATGTTCATAGAATGCAATTCTGGATACTTCGGGGCGCAATGCAAAGGACTTTGCAGCCAGAAGTGTTTCAATGATGAGATCTGTAATCATATAAACGGAGTTTGTACAAATGGATGCAAGGATGGATATACTGGAGAAAGATGTAATGAAAGTAAGGGAAAAACTGGAGTTAATATAAACAACGTTCTATTTATTTTATCTAAAAATAGATTTATAATATGGGGTAACTCTTCCTTAACACTTGTATGTAATACTATAAACTTTAAGACTTTTGCATCTAATACAATCAATTCACTTGATAATATGATGTTGCATTCATCATTCATGTAAAATAAACGAAGTGTTTAAATCAAATTATATTGAAAAAAGATCAAATAAATAGATATTTTATATCATTATAGGATTAAACGTTCCTATTTTTAAGAATTCATCGATGTGTAATCTCCTGCCTTTCTACTCACAAACTGAAGAAAAGTGCAGATCACTTTTCTGAAAAGGTTTGTGGGTAAAAAGGCATCGGTTTACACATTGATAAATAAAGAAAAAAAACTTGTTTTGTTTGAAAATCGAAATACGTTCTTTTAAAAATATTTAAAGTATTTCTCTGAGCCCCCAATGCAATCGATTATTTTTGTACAACGTAGGAATACGTAATGCCGCAAACGTAATCGAGATGAATGTCGATCAAGTTCAACTTATCGAAGTTTGTCGAAACAATCAATAAATAATCATCTAAAAACTCATCAAATGTTTTTTAAGTCAATAAATGTCGTTAATACGAGAAAACTTGAGAATATTTCTTCCTTATCCATGGCCAAGATGACATTAACAAGGTGCAGATCAACGACATCATCAATTTGCTACGGTTTGATCAAAGATTGAGGAAGAATATAGGATGTAAAAATAGGAATGGTACTAATAAGGCAAGAGTCTAAGGTAAGTTTTTCTTCCCTATCATATAGAAATAACAACTGAGCTGATTTGCTTTATATTAGGAACGTCGAGAATATGACATCGATTTTTAAAATTCGTGATACGTCGGTATCATAAACCTTATAATCCTAACTGTCAGTCCTGTTGGTCGCCTGTTTCAATTGCTTTTACAATAGTCCATTAGCTACTTGTAGGTCAAGAAAGAAGTTGATAGAAAATAAATATCGATGTGTTAACTTTTTTCCGGATATTAGACCAGATTTCAAAACCCCTAAAGGATTACATTGTTTGTGACGAGCTGACGCTTTGCTTGTCGAGAACTTTAAATTCTACGTCACCTTCTGCAATACACATCGCCGACGTTTAACGGGTTTACAAAAGGGGACAGAAAACACAAACAGTTATAAAAGAGCATTATCTATATTATATGCATTTTTAGAGTCCATAATAAATTAAAGGCCGTGAAATTTAATTTTATAACATTTACCATTTGTGTATATGGCACGATATAAAATGATGTACATGATCAATTAAAATTGCTGGATTTTAAGTATTTTGTCCTGGTCATTCTTTGATTGTGTAGTATTTTTCAAATTACTAGTACTGTTGATGTGAAATGATTTTTCTGTGGAAAAGAGAAGTATTCCGTTTATGTATCAAACCATGAAGTGAAAGACTTGAGAGCTAAGTAAACATAGATTTTTTTTTACATGTATACCCCAAACAACCGTATTATACCAGTATAATATGTACTTGTACTTTAAAAGTATGCCTATTCACAATTGTCAATAATTATGTCAAAATACTAAATTAGAACGGGTGCATAGTTTTGCTTTAAAAAATACACAAGTATAATAGCTCTCTCTCTCTCTCTCTCTCTCTCTCTCTCTCTCTCTCTCTCTCTCTCTAGGAAACTTTTCAGTGGCCGCATATATGTATTTCACTCTGTTGCATCAGTGATGTTTAAAATATTATCAGGTATATTCATTAATTAAGCACTCTGATTTTTTGATTATCAGTAAGCACACATTAATTCCATTCTGATTGCTCATATACGACATACATGCACTGTTGCAGAATTTTTAAATACTGTGCATTATGTAGAAAAGTACTCAAAGGCACATTTTCACAATCCTTTATAAAACTTTCTGTAAGGAGATGTAAAAACCCATAACAGGGAACACCATACCGAGCACTACGTACGCGGAGTTTTTGCAAACAGCAACATGTCCTCCATATATGGGGGGGGGTTAGAATGGTAAAACAGGTGTCATTTTAGCGACTGTGGGACAATTTTATCGAATGCTAAGAAAACTTTTAATAATTATGCAATTCAATGAATATTTATATTGTACTAAGGCAGTGGAACTACAAGAGGCCCATGGGCTACATCGCTTACCTGAGCACTGTGGCTAAGAAAATAGCAGAAATCAGCTCAGTATTGAAAGTTTAAATGCATAAGTGGTCCCAATCTACCTTTAAAGGGGATGGGAGTTTATGTGAACAAACTTTAATCTACACTTCTTGAAATTTTCTCCCATAAGTTTCATCATTCTTGGCACTGTGTTTCTTGAGATGTTTTTTAAAACATGTCATCAATTGCAAATTTTCACATTTTCTAGAGAAGAACTCGAAAATGTGAAAAGTTTAAAGACGGATAAACAGACAACGTCGGGCAAAATGTGATCATGCAACTGAGATTGTAAATTGTTAAGATTTTCGGTTGCATGGAAAAATGACCGACTGTCTGCTGCAACATGGAAACTAATAAATGAATATCATTCATTTATGACTTGTAGCGCAACATTGGGAGGAGATAGGGGCTAAAAGCTTGAATTATAAGGAGTCAGCACCCCACCCCCCTGACATCACTTTTCCAGGGTTCTTGATTAACTATAGGATTCTTACAATGATAGTTTTCATTAACAACCCCCCTTTTCGAAAAGCTTTTTTGTTATGTATTGACATTTTTATTCAGAAGCCTGATTTACCAACACCCTTCTGCAAATATTTTTCACAGTCCAATATAATCTCTTACACGTTATATTGCAAAAATGTTGACAAATATGAGAGTACTTGTGGACAGGACTCCCCCCCCCCCCCCCCCCCCCACTATTATCCCCTGGTCAAAATATTTTTTTTGGTCATTAATTATGTTTCTAGTACTTATTTACAACATATTCCATATGAAAAATCCAAAAAATAACATAGATTTAACGATTTACTAAAAAAGTCATACCCTAGTATTATAGATAGAGAAGGTCTTTTTTCCAAAGTTAGACTTAGTATAGACATTGAACATTGCTGCGTAGGTATACGCACGAGATAGGATTTTTGTGTTTGGAAAATACACATCCTTTGTTTTTGTTCTTTATGTGTGTGTGTGTGTGTGTTTTTTTTTTTTTTTTTTTTTGCTTCTCAGGTTTTTTTTGGGAGGTCTAAAAAAAATTTATTACTGTTAGCCCCCCACTTTTATTTGCTTCCGAAGCCAATGATAGATATTTTCCGTCGTTTGGTAATAATTACCCTGTACATACAACATTCGTTAAAACTTGAAAATAAATTGAACTTCAGTCGATAAAATTTGAAGGTAAATGGACTCGTCTTTCCCGGCCTTCCCTCTTTATCTTTTCTCTCGAATATACATATAAAGAGGGTATCCATTTTTCACCAGTATATTTTGTACCAAATTGCAACAATCTCAGCATGCATGACTTGGGTTGATACGCGTAACTAATAAATCCAATGATCAATGAATCATGCACTACTAGACTTTTATACTTGTACGCAAATATGAAAAAAGTTAATTTTGCGATAATAGAATAAAAATAATCGACCAATTTAAATACAGTGGACCTTCAGATATCCGGACGCCAGATATCCGGATGCTTCAGTATCCGGATGATTTTTCATCGTAACGAAATTTTTAAATGTTATTTTGTCTTGTTTAACTGGTGATTCAGATATCCGGATGCTTTACATATCCAGACAAATTGACTGGGAACCAAAGCGTCCGGATAAATGAGGGTCCACTGTATTCGTAATGGATTGAAAAAATCTTAAGATTTTTAAAGGTTTAAAAAAAAAAATAATTCAAGGTTACAAAAAAAAAACTAAAGAAAACGACATTGGGACTGTCTACTCCATTTTATGAACCCCGAAAACAAGCTGTATGTTGCAGCTGACCGACTTTAGCGTGGGAGAGACGCGATTTCGACTACTTCCTTTGATGTGGCGAGAATGTGACGTAGTATTTAAAGATCTCGACAAGCAAAGCGTCAGCTCGTCGAAAACAATGTTATCCATTAGGGGTTTTGAAATCTGCTCTATTCTCATCCAATCAAAACACAGAGAATCCTACCTGTAAGTATGGCAAAAAGGGGAAATTTAAAATGGAAAGGAAAAAATTTCCTGTGTAAAGTATTTAGTTATAAAGTAACGCATGTGTATGGCATAATTGTACATGTGTTTTCTTCCCTGTGCATAGGAAAACTTATTAAATTTATTAAAATGATTCTTGCAACAATATCAACTTTGAAATTGTTATTTTGATTAAAAAGTGCAACATATATTTAAATGCAAAGAAGTTCACTATAATTAAATAATATATTATGTATTACGCCATATGACTGTAGTATAATGAACACTCATATGCAATTGTAAAGCCCGCTTGTAACTTATTAATATCATTACCAAATGCGTATTTCCATTCATAGGAGTATTCATTTTTTTTTTACATAAAGTTTCATTTATTTCAATATCTCTTATAGATTTTTTTTTCAAAGAATGTTCACTGTCCTATGGGGAAAACTGCCAAACCTTATGCGGTGAATATTGTGTAGATCGTTCATGTGACAGATTTTACGAAATTTGTTTGTCTTGTTGCAAACGAAAAGCTTATGGCGAGAAATGCGATCAAGGTTCGAAAAGAGGTATTTCGTATTCAGCAACTATTATACTCATAAGTTAAAATCATTTTCATTATCTTTTTTTTATATTTTCTAAATTTTGAAAATCAAAGTATATGTAAAAGCACAAGTCTAAAAATTGCACTATAAATGAGGACAACTAAAACGTGGTGTTTCTCTCTCATTCAACCTATTTTTATATTTTCAATGTGTTGCTTTATGAGATGCTAAAAAAAGTTATTCCATTTTTTTTTCAAATAGGGATAGTTCGAGCGTATCAGGTATCTAAAGCTCCTTCATCAGATACGCTTACTGCTGTTGCAGTTGGGTACAGTCAAATAATTGTTTTCCCATATGCGACAAAGTTAATGTTTCATTTATAGCGATCTCCCTAATTTTCGTTAGCAGTGAGTGACCCTCAAATCAAAGCACATCAACTTGTCTTTCTTTGGTTAAAATCTCAAGGTGACATGTCAGATTCCTTTTCCGGCAAAGCGCATCTGTCTGCAGGAACCTCTGAAATTGAAAGTGAAAGTAGGGGAATTCCAGGATTCTCAATGGCGGTATAATACACAAAATAATTCAGCTAATTCCCTTGATAAATTACATTTGCCAAGCTATTTTGCTAAGATACTCCTTATCAAGAAATATGAGACCCAGTTGAGTACATATTCACATTTTTTAGTCAAGTCTAAAAATTAAGGAATTTGTATTTTTTCTGCATTACTTTCCTCTCCTACCGATTCTAAAAATGATTAGTGGGATATACCAAGTTGTTATTCCTTTAGGTTGTCATCATCATTGCTGTTTCGGTTATTTTACTTATCCGGTACATGTTTTTATAACAAGTTTGTTTGAGCCATTGTTGTCCTTTGATCGAGCTTTAATGCCTTATTTTTACAACTTTATTTCAATCGAGTATTTCGCGCAATGAAAACAAATATTGAAAATTTACAGTAAGCATTAAAATGTTTTTATTGTAGATATAAAAGAAAATCTTCAGAGACCTCAGCAAAACAGAAAGATCTACTTAACATGAAGCATATTTCTATCGTTGAAAGAGTGAACAGGGAATCCTCGTCAGAACGTAAGCCCATAAAAGTAATCACCGGTAATACGTGGGTTATTCGAAAGGTTCGTGGACTTCTGTCATATCTTTTTTTTGACGTCTTATGTTATGCATATTTGGTAGAAATATTTTAACAATAATTTCAAATATTATTAAGATATAACGATTTATTCCATCCGTATCCAGATTTAAATAATGCAAAAATCAGGTCGAGAAAGTCAAAATATAGTAAGTTACAAAAATTACACTAAATAATCTGTGTAGTTATAGTGTCTGTAAAAATGGAGCAAAAACGAAAAACAACCAAGAAATTCAAAAGAAGAATTAGAACATCGATTCGTATTCCAAATTATGGCTTGATATTTTACTTGAGATAAAGAAATCAACTTGAAATCAAATCAAAAGTGCTCATTGAAAACGACAAAAACGATGGCTTTTTAGAACGTCACGGAGCAGCAAGTAACGATGCAATTTTGTGTTTTACACAGGAAAAATCATCAATAAACTTTTAACATACTGAAGGTATAAAAAAAAATATGTCACAAGCAAGTTGTGCTGTGTGGACATATAGTCCGGGCAGTATTTAAGTGATAGATACTCTGTATCGAATGAGGACAGTCTGTGAAGAAACGGTTTAAATTACTGTAATAATCTAAATAACTTTAAAAAGTTGAAACGTCAAGGAAAGGCTCATGCGCTTCAGAGTTGCAAAATCGAATGGAATGAAACAAGACACATCATCAAAACAAATAATTTTACATATTATATTGTGCTACTTTACATTTCTAGTGAGTAATATAACGAAGATTGAAATTGTCCACGAATTTTTTTTAACAACCCTCGTACATGTCATTTGGACATTGATTTCTTTCATATATTTATTTTATATACTAGTATTTCTAACATATATTTATTTCATATGTTCATTCCATATAATTTATTTCATATATTTATTTCATATAATTATTGATACATTTATTTTTCATATTTATTTCACAATACTCGTTTTATTTTTTTTGTTCTGATAATGCTTTCGTTCTTGTTTAATAATTTTAAGGGCAACTAATACAAAACATATTGATGCTCGATTGCTGTATATTTATATCTTATTTGATTGTAAATGATGATACTAAAATATTTCTAAAATATAATTAGTTTGTACATTGTTAAAAGGTTAATCTTTATTGATCATATTTTTACTAAATTTTTGTCACTTAAGATCCCCTTTTTCTGAAATATTGATGAAAAAACTAAAATTCTTCCATGTGCGGTTAAACTTGTTAATTTTATATAAAAACATAAAGTATGTATATATTTAACAAATTTCATTGTGGCGAAAATTTTGCATGGCTGTTTATCAAGAGACACAAATAATGAAAAGCTATTGGTGCCTCTGGCAACACAACAAAGCAAAGATTGCATATTGAATATTCAAACTTAGGTTCAAAGATCATAGTTCAAAGGTCAAATTTCACAAACACCATCTCAGAAAGTACTTAACCCGGGGAGGTGCAAAGGTCAAACACTTGTTTATGTATATGTAAATCCAAAGTTTACCTTTCAATTTTCATGAGTTACATGACTGCATATAAGGATAGTTCTTTAGTGCCGCTCGTTTACGCCACAAGTTCCCAACCACCAGTTTTTTTGTGGTTGGGAACTCCGCCACCATATGGTTGGGGGTAGAGCGGCAGAAGTAGCCATGCCAAAGCCAATACCTATCATGATCGATGAAATTGATTCCCTGTAGAATTAAACCTAACCCCCATTTATACATGGAGTGATGTAATGACCCTTAAAATAGTATCTCAGATTTTTGTGATGAGTAGATCAAAGACACATGTACGCATGCATATCACTATACATGCAGAAACCAGGAATATATACTCAAAATACATAAACGATAAACATATAACATATTTCATATCTATTTTATATCCGAATTAAAATGAAAATATACTAACTTTATTACTGGAAATATTATTTTGGAATACATGTATATCACAATGAAATAATGAGAAAAATGGAGAAAACGAACGTTGGTCGAACTCAGATAAATGTACAACCATGCAAAGGTGAACGTTTCATTGAAAAAGCACCCCTCGAATTTCTTTGGGTAGGATCATATACTTAGGAGAAAGCATTCCCTTATGACAGATTTGCTTCAAGTCCTATTTATACAATGTATTGAACGGGTGCAATGGGACATTGTGTTTAATTTTAGTATAAAAACAAGGACCTAACAATTGGTATGAAGCACATTAGCTAAAATATGACCTACATTATGGATTAATTTGCTAACAAGGTCAGTAGAACAGCAATAGAATTTACAAAATCTAAATATTAAAGTAGGTTTATCCGTGTTTAACAAACTAAGTTACAATACTGGTTTAAGCTATTACTAATTAGCAAACGTGGCACACAATAATATTCATTTAGAAATAATGTTTTAATATACCATATAATGCTATCTTAGGACAAACTACCGCTAATATTCAGAGTTGGGGAATATGTCACACTTCCAAGAAGAAAGTAAATTATGTTCAAATTAGAATTCAAAGGAAAATTATTATTTTTGTACGAGAAGTATATGTAAGTCCAATATTGATTGAGCCATAAAAATTAATACTCATATAGTCTTGTGATTTCAAAGTTTTACCAAAAATCAATGCGTATAAAGAATTGAAGAATAAGTGAACAGTGCTCTTTCATGTTTTGCGGATTAAACATTTGATTCCTCTAGTATATAAAATTACAAGATGCCCATGGACCTTCCAGGTCACCTGAGAATCATGCAACAACTTTCAAATGATTGAATTTAGTTCATGTTTTAAGGTAGATGCTATGGCATTCACAGAGGCTGGCACCATTGCTAATCATCACTATAAACTTAGCAATTGCTTAGAATGTTACTTAAAGGGGTTGGGTGGTCGTTTTAAGACTATTTCAATCTCCTTTAGAAGGAGAGATCCATATAAAGATATACAAAAATAATCAAATGTTAAAACTAATATGCATGAAATTTTTCTTTGTCAAATGATAGTTGACAGCTAAAGATATCATATCTAAAAATTAATTTATATCTGGTGGTTAATTTGTTCTTAATTTGTTGACCCCTAAGCCTCCTTTATACCCATAGGCAGGGTAGGGGAACAAAAAATGCATATCAGCTGATCAGTAATATTCAGCAATAATCAGAAGTGTCCCTACCACACATGAACCCCTGACCCTAGATCCACACATAGCACATTTTTTTGGAAAAGGCACACTTGCTTGACAAAAATGTTTGCTAAATACCAAGGAGCAGATATTTGAAACAATTCATTTCCGTATTTAAGTAGAGCCCCCCCCCCCTCCTTTCAATGGTATCCCTGACCCAGGGCCTTGAAATTCAAAATTCTGGAAGAAAGGCCATTGATAATCATAACTAGGTAGTTCATCTGCTTAATAACCAGGAGCAGAGAAGAAAACTTTCAAAGATTTAATGTATTTTCACTATTATAATCTATAGAGCCCCGCCCTAACACCAGAACCCCTGACCCTGGGGCCATGAAATTCAAAATTTTGGTAGACGCACTCTTGCTTCATCATAACTATGTACTTTCAAAGAATTCATGTTTTTTCATTATATAATCAATAGAGCCCCGCTCATATCTTGCTTGATTTTACAGGTAACAGTAGTAGCTGTTGATTTCAATGAGAAAGTGTACCTAGGCATGTTTGATAAAACCAACATCACATTTGCAAAGAAACCCATTGGAAAAATTTCTCAAACTTTAACAACAATGGATATAACAGATAATTATCTAACCTTAAATACCAAAGATGTTATGCAAATGGACAAAAAAATTATTATATTTTCTTTAAAGTCTGTTATGGTAGATGAAAACTTGTGCTTACAGAGAAAGAAATACAGTCCATGATAAAATGTTGAATTGAAAAGAGATCTAACACATAATTAATTAAATGGTCACATGTTTTGAACATATCGTTCGCCTTGAAGAGCTGCCCAAGAAGAATTTCTTTTATTATGTACATTAGCGCACTATATTGGCATATGAAATGAATACATCAAAACAGTATCGAGAGACAAAGAATTGTGCTTGAAATAAATGTATTCTCCCTCATCGTTGAACATTCAACTTCATAATATAGATGAAATGCATTTCGTGGTGTCAATCCAAAAACAATTAGTAAAGGAGATATCCTTAAAAGTTTGAAATGAATGTTATGATTTTGTGATAATAACCTGAAACATTATAGATCATGACAATATGCATACTTAAAATTGTATACATCCCAAGTGGACTTTATGAGTTAAATATATTAAGTCATTGACTTCACAGAGTTGTTTAACAAAAACAATATCTGTAGAACAATGTCAATTGACTTGGTTCCCTTTTGAACATAAAAGGTATGGAAAGGAAGTTTTTCTTCTTTAATTCTCCTTGAAATTGATAAGTTATATCATATGACTTTAGTCCTCAAAGAAAGAAATTGAAATTGAAAAATGACATGTATTTGAGGTAAATTGTGTATTTCTAGCTAAATTATGGTAAATGAATTAAATTTTAATCTTATGGAGTAGGTTTTATTTATTTTTTTTAATTCTTAGACATTCATTTGTAGCACGTTTTTGTGTAGTATATTAATATCCGTATGAATCAATCATTTGCCTATGCATACTGTAATGTAATTGTATTAGACTTTAAATTGTCATTGTAATGACTCTTTCACAATTCATGTAGGACTCATTGTCCATGTCCTCTGTAGTTATGTAAATATATGGTATATTTTGTTTTGTAAAGAAGTAACGATACATTTTTTGTTCAAAAGCCTTAGATTTGCTAATTTGGAGGAATGTTACTCTGTGATTGGTTGAATATAACCTCTTGAAACATAAAAAAAACTGATTGTCAAATTTAGTCTTGTCATAAACGATTTTAAAGTTCGAGGAATGTTACTCTGTCCAGTATGTATAACTGTAAAACCCCAAACAATTAATGTACTTCAATGTTGAAATTACGTTTGGTTATAAACAATTGTAAGGTTGGAGAAATGTTACTCTGTCAAGATTGTATGACTATAAGATCTAAAAGCATTAATGTACATCAATGTTGAGATTTAGTCTTGACAAAAACGATTTTAAGATCTGAAGGAATATTACTATGTCTTTGGTAGAATTTTAAGGTCATAAAGTATTATATTATATTATATTTGTTTGGAGGAATGTTACTCTGTGTAATTTGTATAACCGTAGAGACTTAAAGCATTAATGTACTTCAATGTTGAAATTTAGTCTTGACAAAAAAGAGGCTAAGATTTGGATGTTAATCTGTCTTTGGTAGAACTGTAAGGTCATATAGTAATATATTGTAATATTTGGAGGAATGTTACTCTGTGTAATTTTATTTGTAAGGTCTTGCAGCACTTAATGTACTTCAATGTTGAAATTTAGTCTGGATATAAACGATTTTAAGGTTGGAGGATGGCTACTCTGTCTAGTTGTATGACTGTAAGATCTTAAAGCATTAATGTACTTCAATGTTGAAATTAAGTCTGCATATAAACGATTTTAACGTTGGAGGAATGTTACTCTGTCCACTTTGTGTGACTGTAACATCTTAAGCATTAATGTACTTAGGTGTCGAAATTTAGTCTTGACTTGAATGATTTAAAAATTTAGAGGAATGTTACTCCTGTATTTGTTTATGAGTCTAAGCATTCATGTTTTCTTGTGAACCTTTGCTGATATTGGCTTTTTTCACTGTCTCGAGATGTCTACGATAGTAGGGGAAATCGGAGTAATCATGATTTTAAAGATTCATTGCATAATACTTGTATTAATAATTCAATTTTCATTAAAGATGATTAGCGATGTAATTGAGGAATGTTACTCTGACTATTCACAAAAATAAAAGTTACAATACCAAATTGCACTGAAAGGAAACATTTCTGATTTTTTTTTATCATAAACAGACCTAGCACAAAATACTCTTTGTAGGTAAACTGACTAAAGCATAAGTCAAACCCAACCGAAAACCCATAAAAGAGACTAATATATGAGTCTCTTTTTATTCTGCTATCCCTTATATACATTTTTCTCAAACCACGAAAATTTGACCCCTCGAAAATGTGTGATTTAACAGAAAACGTATCTCGATCTGAAAGTGAATCGTACAGATTCATACAAATGTATAACATTTAAACAATTAATGTGCAGAAATATTAACCATATTTTTTCTTTCAGCGTGTGAGTTGGGCTATTTTGGGTCCCGATGTTCTCGGAAATGTTCGGTAAATTGCATCAATACATTTGTTTGTAAGAATACTGATGGAGCTTGTCGTTGTGCGCCTGGCTGGACAGGGTCACCAACTTGCAACATAGGTTTAGTCCACATTATTAGTTAGGGGATCCTAATATTCGTAAAAATCTGCATTTTATTTAAATATCACATCAAGCACATAAACATGTATATTAGTTTTAGTAGGGATTTTTCTCATAATGAGTTAAAAATTAAGTAAAATTTACACACATTCAAGAGAAAAATGTCATTAGAGATGGTAATAAAACATTAAAATTGTACGAAAACAATTATTATTAGAAAATATCAGGTAAACCACCCGGTGAAAATATAAGAGAACAAATTTGATTTGCCCTCTTTTCATTGACAACAAAGGTTTCCAAGATCAATATTCCTGTATCTATATAATGTAAATATCAATGGCAATACATGTAATCATATTTATTCAATTCATGAAACAATTCCATAGTTTATCAAACTGTCTGTATTTATATTAAAGAACTGCTTAACAGCCATTTGAACTGTTTAAAGTTTGTTAACATAGACTGACACACACATGTATTTTATATATAGAAGAAAACGTAAAATATTTCATTACTAAATAACAGATCTTTTCTTTTTCAACTATCTTTTCATTATCAAATAAGATTTGCTTATCCATTTTTTTTTAAATAAAGAATGTTCCCAAGCATATGGCGAGAACTGTCAAATTCCCTGCAGTGAAAACTGTATGAACCGCACCTGTGACAGATTCAACGGAAGTTGTTTGACTGAATGTATGGGAGGTACTTTTGGAGAAAAATGTGATCAAGGTGTGTGAATAAATTTTATATTCAACAATTTTTAAAATCTTTGTTTATTGTCTTGTTTATACTTTTCTTAAAACTTCCTTCCGTATTCTTTAATTTCTTTTAATTCAACTCTCGAAATTCTATGATAACTACAATAATTGAAAGAGTTCAAGTAACTATGATGACATTTCTCTTACAGCATGTTTATATTTTACTTTGCCTTGCTTTATGAAGATTCATGATGTTGTTTCCTTCTTTTCCCTCAGGGAGAGTAGCATCAAGTGGCGATTCAGGATCCCCTCTTACTTTTGTTGTGATTGTTGGTGTTTTAACAGTTTTCATCATCTTTGCTGTCATCGTTATCATCTCTATACGGTATTTACAAAAAAAAAATATTTAAGTATTTGATGTTTATTGAAGAGTATATTCTGTATTATTTGGGGTGTAATAAGCATTTGGAGGAATCTTTTAAATACGTTTTAAAGCACTTATTTTTTCATATATACACGCGTGCATATATGAAATTTATGTTTGTTGCCTTCGTTTTCATCAAAAGTTTATTTGAGTCTACCTGTTCGTTTGTCTTTCTGTCTGAACCACTTCTGTTTCCGTGGAATATCTCAAGAAGCCTTTTACATAATAACTTCTTCTGGCCTGAGGAAAAACCGTTTTTTAAATCGATGGTTGAGGACATGAATATAAATTCTATCTGTTTCAACATTTCCGTTTAGAAAACCATGGATCAAAAAGGGTTCTTATCCTAAATTGTTTTTTTTTTATATCATAACGCCCATTAACACCCCCCCTCCTCCCCCATCCATCTTGCAAATCCGCGCTTTTTTCTTATGCGGGAGAAACATACGGAATCCCATTTAGGATTTTTGAATCCGATATAACGAATTGTCGAATTTGTTATAACGAATTGAAATCGTTTAAACAAATTCGACAAATCGTTATATCGAACTCATATATATTTTTCTATAGGCCCTCAATTATTGAATTTGATTAAACTAATTTTAAATCGTTATAACAAACTTTGAAATTTGTTTAAACGAATTTGATTTGTTATAACAAATTCGGCAATTCGTTATATCAAATTTCAGAAATATTTTTGTAGGTACTAAATGGACTTCCGTAGAAACACATTTTGTGAATTTAAAATTGTTGTTAGTTTGCTTGAAATGAAAATTGAGAAACATATCCTGTTTCATGATATTGCAAAGGTATCGGGAATACAATATGTTTTGGGGCTATAATTGTCCAAAGGCACCAGCATGGTACCATTTCAACTGGATATTAAAAAAAAAACAGGGATCAAATATGTCACAGGGTATATAGTGTCCTAAATAAACACACATAGTGTCAATAATTCTTTTTATTAAATAAAACAGTTTGGTGTTTTGTTTATTACTTAAATACTTTTAATATGTCGGTCATCGCTAAGTTTTCATTCAAGAGAAGGCAACAATTTATTAGGATAATCTTTGAGAAATAAATACACATTCCATAGGTATAAAATACTTCATAATAAAATGTGATTCACATTCTAAAAGTATTGTATCAATAAATTACCACGATCATATTCTTTTTGTTGATACCATTACTTTTGTTTTATTCTTTTCTTTATTTAACAATTTTTGTAGGCGAAAGATTGTAGGAAACTTCAAAACAAGCAAGAAATGTTCTGAGAAGAACGGCACTGAAAACATTGAAGTAGCCTCAGAGAATGTAAATGAATATCAGGAATTAAGTGCCTCTAGAGATAACAACGATTATCAAAGCATACGATTGTCAGAAGTTACTTCAGTTGAACAAAGCAACACTTATCAGAACCTTGTGTTGACTACATTGTAGTTTTTTAAACTATGTTTTCCCTCCTTCTATTTATTATAGACCAGTATTTCCATCAGAAGTCCCAGGGACGAAAGATTTTGGTTCTCGTATTTAGTCAAAATTGAGTTAGTTTACAATATATTTTGTTTCAAATAATTTGTCCAACATCTTATACCTGAAAAGAAGAAAACACCTGTTCGATATAGATCAAAGACGTATCGTCAATTAACAATTATATAGAATTTTCCATTCCTATGTCGACAGGATATATCCAAGTGAACTTAAAATAAAAGATAGACAGAGTTTGACATATCTGTTTCAAGTTTTAAAAAAATACGTGCAATAGACGTTAATAGTAATTTAACAACCAGGCTGTATGATAAACGTGATGACTAACTTTCCAATCGTCAACTTCCCTTACTTATACAGCAATCTACATTCATCACATTCATATGGAGTTTATATCTCTCTGTTGATTTCGTATGCGAAAGTATGCTCTTCAAATGAACAATTTCTAATCATTTCTAAAACGAGGTAAATTACTGACAAACAAGTTGCTGAAACAAGAATATCAGCAGTCTTGTTGAAAGTCATTATTTCTTAGGATCAATGGTCTATACATTGACCTTGTCAGGAAATACAATTTATCTGTAAGTCAATTTCTGACTGACGTTTTTCAGTCTTATTGTTAGAGGCTATTTTATACACACAGAACTCTCGACAGATTTTTCCGTTATTTCCTGATCATGACAAAGAGGACAAAGCGGGTGCGACTGGTCGACAGGAGATGCTCATGCCTCAGTTGAAAGAGACCCCATTTCTTATGTTCTTGTTTGCTGTATTCAAATTTTGTATTGTTTGATAGTTTTTTTACAGCTTTAATATATTAATAGGTCAAATTGCATGCACATTAAGAGTTTTAAAAAAATTATGTTAAATTACCTTTGATTGATGTATAATTTGTTTATAGACAAAAAAATGTTCCGTAAATGAATATTCTTTGGAACAAAGATGCTTATAAAAAGATATCTATTGGTAAGATGATTGTAACACCGTTTTGTGCTGTGTGTTTTTACGTGTATTTCTATTTTAAAAAAGAAAACGTGGCAAAATCTTGTGACTGTATTTTCAAAAATGTAAAGCAAGTAGAGTGTATGTAATCTTAATTGCCTACTCATGAGATCCCATTTTAAATTGTAATTCATTTACTTCTTTCTTACTTCTTCGTTTATGTTATCAACGCATTTTTTCACATCAAAATTGTAAGTAATTCTATATTTAAGGACTTTGAGTTATGTGGCCAATGCACAATTTTAAAGAAAGCAAACATATGCATTTTCTTCTCCTGTAGCGTTGCAAAGCTATGACAAATCTGTTCGACATTTTAAACAAATACATGTATTATTCCTTCTGTTGTAGATATTATGACCATCAATCTTTATTACTTACTTATATCAGAATCTCAGACCTATTTTGCTTGAAATTTTCGTTTTATTTAAAACAAAACAATAACCAAGCAATTATATAAAAAGGTAATGATTTCATTTATTGTATTTATATTGTGATTTAAAGCAAAAAGGTTAAAAATATGATTAGATGCCCTCTCTTTATCGTCAAGCACCATCTGAAATATAACTGTTCTCTATTACATTCAAAATATAAAGTTTAGCGAAAGGTGACCTGGAAAGTTAAAACAATGAAACAGAACAATAGTAAAAAAATGTAATCGCTCTTACTTTTTCATTTAATTTTGCACAATGCAAATTTCTAAAGCTTTCTTTCTAATGTACTACTAGATATCTTCATGGCGTACAGAGAATCCAGAATATTAAGGTAAAATTAATTTTCAAAACAGGTTACTCCTAAGTTACGAATGGGAGAATATGGAAAATTGAAATCAATCACATATTTTCAAGAATTTTTAGATATACAAAGTCATGATATTTTAACAAACACATTCCGACTTTGGTTGTATATATTGTATTTATTCCGGCAATATATACTTACATACAAAACATATTATATAACTTCAATGAATCATTTAAGATGATATATATTTCATCAGAAAGCAAAAACGTATAATTTTTCAAAGGTTTGATTTCAACATTGATATCATTAATCTGTAATGTGCAGAGTAAAAGTCGCCTGCAATAAAGTTGAACAGGATTTTGATAAAAAGATGAAGAACCCACTGTTCGATACATATACATGTAAGAAGCAGCATTCTATTTTTAAAAAAAAACATGGATGCTGAAGAATTTTGCATTCAATATCTTTTACTTGTAAATTTTTAGCTGAAGGTCTGGAGCTCTCCGAAAAAATATATTGATAGACCAGAAAGCTACAGTGCAACCCATTGAAAAAAAAAACTGTATATTTATTGCGCACAAAAAAGTGCGCTCGGCTCTCGATTTATTTCTCCATGTTTTTAAACTGTGATCTCAAAACATTACTAACCG